AGGGTTGGTAAACCCGTAAGGAATTTTTCTTTCCAAAAGGGTTGGTTAGAGTCCTCACGAAGCATGACTCTAGTAAGGAAAGTGGTTTGGTAGTACCGAAAGTCACCGAGATTTTTGCACCTAAGGTTACTCAAGAGTTCGAGCATTTTTATCTTTCGGGTATGAAGGGTCTCTTATGAAATGAAGGAAAATAGTCGGGATGAGTACGACACTCGTATCTTGAATTAGTTCACCTAAGTCATCTAGGATAAGGAATCCTTCTTGGTATGTTTGGATGGAATTCGGGATTTATAAATGTTGTTGGGCGATGAGATGATAGTCCCACCATCTTTTTAATTGTCCTAAAAAACCGACAATGAGCAATTCGAGCAATCACACGATCGTGGGTTCCAGTTTGGGTTTTGTATGTGTTAGCCGCCATGGTCATTTGTTGAAGTAAACTCGGAATATTGTACTTTGACATTCCATCTATGTTCCATTCATAGACGGAGGAGGCATTGAATCTAGGTTAGGTAAGTTTGTTTGGCATTTCTCGTATGTCAAGGGCGGTGATCATAGGTAAGGAATTTTTTCAATAAAGTTTGTTCACTTTAAGGAGAGGTTCCTGGTCTAAGTTTTGATCTAGTACATTGACACTATGGGAGTTGGGTGGTGTGTCAAGTACTACTTGCCTAGAAGTTCCTATACCGGAAGATATCTCTATCTTGCTAAGTTGGTCTCTAATAGCTTGTAAAAACTCGGGTTTATTGGTTTGTATCTATCGTTGGCTAGTCCTAGAAACCCGAAAGGGTTTGAAGACTAGGTTCTTGAGCTTCGATCGGTGGTTTCTATTTTAGCTAGGGAAACAACTAGTTTTGGGGTAGGAGGAACAACTGTCTGCTAGATATGGGATTCTATCCTAACAAGTTGTTTTCCTATGGTTTGAAGATTAGTATTAGTAAAATTGTTCTGCTGAACAATATTTTGGATATTGGCGAGTCATCGTCCTTGGGTATTTTGTAAGGACATGCTTCTATTTTAGCTTCTCCATGGGAGAAAGTGAGTTTCCTAAAAGGAGGATGTTCAAATTGGATAGTCTTTCCATCTATTTCCCAAGTTGGGGTTTTGTTCCTAGTAGTAACAAGGTTCACAGATTTGAAAGGATAAGAAATATTATTTGCAGAAGCATATATTTCAAATCAATCAAAGAATAAAATATGGACTTTATGTAGATTCACAAATTCATAAAATTCATTTTGTATTTCTTTTTTTCTAGAAAATTTTTGAAAAAATAAATTCTTTTTCGAATTATGTTTTGCATAGAAATCATCATGCATATATTTTTTATCTACTACAAAATCATCTTTTTCAATCACATTACATTCATCAACAATGTTTTCGGTGATGGCGGATGCAGTAAGAGATGCGGGAGGAGAATCATCTTGGTTTGAATATCCGGGTTTTGGAATATTTATGTCGTAATCAACTTTGTAAAATGGGGTTAGGTATATCCGAAGTAGAATACCTAGGTTTGGAAAATGGGAGATTTATGACAGAGGGAACTTTGGAAATTCTACCTATGTCAATGGTTTCGAGGTAGAGGCTTCATCGAAGAATCTACTACTCGTAAATCTCTCGTCAAAGGAAAGTCTCACACTACCATCTATTCGTTGTGCAATAGGCCTTATTTGGGTATTTGGTTTTGGAATTTCAAGAATGGTCAAAGGTCCTGGTTGGTTTACACCTTCTAAGATCCATTTTTCCGGTAAGTTTATGTTGTTCCACCTTATAGGTCTAGGAATGACAAGTATTGGATTTGGTCGGATATGTTTATAAGAGAAGTGTCTCGCCTTTGGTGGACTGTCTTTTGTGTTTTGAGGCAAAGGCGAGAGATCATGGCTTTGTAATGGACTTTTAGGATCAATGCAATTGGGATCGATCCTTCCGACATGTTATAATTATGGGTTTTAATTTGTAAAATTAAGGATTATAGAATGTTTTTGTCATTCGAGAAACTGTAAAATTTGGATAGCAATCAAAAGATATAGGTCCACTCGCATAAACTCGGATTCAATTGAACTAAGCAAAGAATCTATAAAACTCGGTAAACCTATTGTCTCTAAGGATCGCTAGAATTGAGGTGCTCAATCCTTCTTTTGTTAGTGGTATAATCCCCACTTGTACTAATCCTATGTGGATGTACTTAAAGGATTTCTCTTTATGTTTTTGTAAGGTTTTGGAAGAGAGGAGACGTATGGTCTCAAATGATTTTGAAAGCTGGATATCACGTTCTTCGGTTTTGATGGTGTAGTATGTTTTAAACAAATTGTACTTGGAGGTTTTGTAGATTTCATCCTTATGTACCTTAGGGATTTTTCAATTATCTATTTGTTTTTTAAAATCTTCTATAACATATTCTACACTATTTATAATCTTCCTAAAATCTCTAGAATCAAAGGTAGAAGAATTTAAGAAGGAGGTAGATCTACGTAATATAGAATCCATGTCTAAACAATGGTTTGGAGGTTTGGGTACGCACGTTATGAAGGTAATTCCTCCGATTTATCGCCTATCCTTCAGGACTTACTACGACTACACCAACTCAATTGTCTATACCCTCAACTCTTAGCAAGATCTAAACATGAAAACAATAAACATATAAACATACCACCAACAACAAAAAAAGCTAGGCTCTAATACCAAGTAACCCCTAAAAAATGTGAATAAAGTGTAGAAAATTATATGTAGAAATGAAAAACGAGAAAATAAGTAAATTGGGCGGCAAAGCCGACCACTAAGATGCGAGGATGAAAACCGAAATTAAAAGCAAAACTTAAATTGGGCGACAGGGCGAGCCACTAAGATACGTAAAATCAATATGGTTTTAAAGAACAAGACATGAGATAATGTAAGTAATTTTTTATTGAAATAAACTTACAATTTTGATATAAACAGGAGTACAGGAGTAGTTTTGATTTCCTCGAAGGTTTTGGGTATAATGAGAGCATGTTTTTTCTTAGAATTACTTAGAACTTACCTTTACTCCGTAAACTTGTTCCCTTGTAATCTCTTGTAAAACAACTCTCATTATACCCAAAACCTTCGAGGAAATCAAAACTACTCCCGTACTCCCGTTTATATCAAAATTGTAAGTTTATTTATATATATATAATTATGCTACCATTATTTAAAAATTCAAAGAATTCATTATATAATTTTTTTAAAGCAAATAATCATATTTCAAAAATCCACACACACACACACACACATAACCTTGCTACCATCATTTAAAAATTTAAAAAAAAATACATCATATAAATTATATCAAAAAGATTAAGAGCAAATAATAGTATTTTAAAAATTCATATATAGATATCTCTCTTCTCCTTCTTTTTTCTTTATTTCTCTCTCTTCTTAACCATCGGAGACCGATTATAATACAAATAAAATTATGGATAGAAATAAAAATTATTAAAAAATAATAGACAAAAGAACAATATGAGCAAAAAAAATACATATAAAATATCAAAAAAAACTTCAAAATTACAAAAAACACCACTCAATGTATAATAAAAAGGCGATGAATAGTGTTGTAGATGTATTAAATGCTTTAAAAACAATTAAAATAACAAAAATTCCACTCGATTTAATTTATAAAAATATCATCTAATGAATAGTATTTTGTTAGTGCATGAACAGTCAAAAAAACCCTACATGTGTAATTAGGCATGATTCAAAAATAATTATATATATATTAGAAATATTACAATTTATTCAATATTCCAAAAATTATTTGCTAATGGCTTCTATTTTTCTTTTATTATTGGAAAAAAAAATGTGACATGGTTTTGAATCTTGATTTATTAAGAATTTATCATGTACACAACTAATAAACTATTTTTTTTTTTATTGAAGGGAGAATTTAAAGCTCTAGAAGGCAATTACATAGTACACATTCTAGAAAAACTATTTCCATATATATCTTTTAATACATGTGTAGAATAAAAAAAGCTTACATTCCTGTTCATTAATATTCTTTTGGACCGCCCAACTAATAATAGGATAAACTGACAGAAAAACTTCTCAACAAATGAAAGAAGCAAACTTCAAGACAGAGCATTAAATGCTCCCTAAAAAAAAAAATAATAAACGAACAGAAAGGCCATAAAAAGAAGGCAAGAAAAACCAAGGAGAAGAGGGTAGAAAGATAACTTGGTAGGAGTACAAAATGGCATTCAACCAATTAAACAAACTACTGAATGGCACAAATAATTCATGGTCAACAAACTCAGTATCAATATAAATAAATGAAAAAAAGAGAGAGAATAGGTGAAAATGAACGACCGACAAAGAGGCAATTGGAGGGACTGCGGGAAATGGACGGCTGAAATAAGGAAAAGGAATTAGAACAGTGTGCTACAGTTACAATCCACAGTACAAATAGGTGAGGATGAACAGTTTTCAAATAATGCACTTGATTTAGTTTCTTTTGTAATAATTTTGAAATTATATTCTTTCTCCAAGCTCACGTTCAAATCAGTTTGATGAATTCAACTGGATAATTTTTTTTAGATATTAATCCTAATAAATATTTTTAAATTGCTATATTTCATAAAAGATTGTAGACTGTTGTTTAAAGCTACATGAAGTTAATTATGGTGTTATGGCTTTAGCAAAGCCAATAAAATACAAGGAGCTTAATGGCGGACTCCAATCTGTGGGCCAAAGCTAGAATAAGGATTTGAAAATCACATTACGTACAGGGATTTAACAACTTTATAGTTGAAGGCAACGGCGGATTATTTGATTCAAATTTTAAGGAGAGATCCAAAGGCGAAAAGAAAAGAGATCCCATAATAAAAAACCGAAAGCAAATGATCATGTCCACAGAACAAAGAAAAAGAAGAAAAAGTGTATATAGCCCACAAGAGTCTTTAAATGGGTGGGTTCAATATTCGAACAAAGTCATTCTCTAACTGACCACAAAACTGATCAATAATAACATCATCACCGGACGATCAATGTGGCAACCCCATTCCACATATGAGCTCCAAACATGGAGAACAGTTACATCAAGACTTGCTTTTGATAATCAATTGAGAACGATAGAGGAAAATGAATGTGCAAATGAAGATGATTCCTGTAGGAAATATCAGTTCAGCGACATGTCTGCAAGAAATCCGGTTACTAAAATGCAACAAAATTCTTTCCATAGGCAGCAGGCACAGCTTGGTAATTATAAGTGGTGCAACTACAAGACACTTCCACCTGCTGAAATGCTCCCAAGAAATGAAGTCTTGGGAGGTTACATTTTTGTATGTAACAATGAGACTATGCAAGAGGACCTTCGACGCCAACTCTTCGGTAATTTCTACAAATCTTTTTCTTTTTTCTCAACCAAAATCCTCATTTAACGCTTACTGCATGAGTTCTCCATTGCTTGTTCATGCAAGTTTTGCAAACATATTTTGAAGCTATGGCTAGTCGGATTGGTCTTAAAGAAATGAATAAATGACCTTCCAATTCTGTTGACAGGGCTTCCACACAAGTACAAGGACTCTGTTAGGGCAATAACACCAGGCTTACCCCTTTTCCTTTATAACTACACATGCCATCAGCTGCATGGAGTATTCCAGGTTTGCCTACTTGACTTTCTGCTTGTGTACAACTAAATTTCAATTTTCTTGTTAAGGAAGAACTTTGAAAGGGTATTTAAGAAGAAGAAAAAATTCCATGCAAAAGAAGCGAAAAAAAAAAAAAAACATCATTGACATTGAATGACACTATGACATTGAATGACACTATGACATAGTCCTACAAAAAAATCTTACTGCAATTTTTATTTATTTATTGTTCTTTTTGGTGTTTGTGTGTCTTAAATTAATTAAAAAGGCTGTGAGTTTTGGAGGGTCAAAAATAGACCCAACTGCATGGGAAGACAAGAAGTGTAAAGGGGAATCAAGATTTCCAGCTCAGGTAAAATTATACAAGTTACAATTACTACTCTTCCTAACGTAGACTGAAAGGGTCTATTCAAGAGATCATAGCAAATTTATTAATTTCAGGTTAGGATTGGATTCAAGAAGAAATGCAAACCACTAGAAGAAGATGCTTTTAGACCAATTTTATACCACTATGATGGCCCCAAGTTCCGATTACAACTCTCTGTGCCAGAGGTATATATACTTGCTTAATGGCTTCGGTTGACCAGTAATATTCATGAAATCACTCAGTAAAGAAAGACAATTTTGTGGGTTTGTAATGACTTTGTATATTTGTTCTCTACCGCAGGCCCTTGCATTGCTAGACATGTTCAATCAGGAGGAGCTTTAATATGTTTGCCTGAATGCCAAAATTCAAGCAAGCCAGCTTATATAATTGTTTGGATAATTACTAGTATAATGAGTAGTGAAACACATTCTACTATGTAACCAGGTTGTCAATGGGTTGAATTGTAGATTCAAATTTAATATGCTTAATGAAAGAATCCAATTTTATGAATTTGAATCAGATTTTTCAATTATCGATTCATATTTAAATTTTAATTGATACATATTGAAATTAGATTTCTATGGAATTTATCTTTTTTTTTTTTTAAGTATTTGCTGTATGCAAAATCATGCTTGAATGTCAATTAATGAGTTTCAACCACGGTGTCTATAAGAAATTATGTCATGATAATATTTAATGTCAATTCAAAAATAAAATAAAATGTTTCGTCATTAAAATAAAATAATACTAATAAAAAATTATATTAAAAGTTAAATGAATTTAAATTAGGGAAGAGGTATAACAAAGATAAAGGTAAATTATAAAAATGTGAGAAATTATTACAGAGACTTGGTCCACCGCCTAAGACCGTGGACCAAACCAAATAAAGTATTTATAAATTACTAATATTTTCATATTATTTGTGATGGATGTATTATTAATTATTTCATTGCATAATTTGATTTATTAATAATTATTTAAATTATAAATGTTATTTACTAAATATGTAGTTACACAATTTAATTATTTATAATAGCTCTAGTAGTTTGGTCCATGATTTTAGGTGGTAGACTAGGTTTGTGAAATAATTTGTTTTAAAAATAGCTACTTTGACATGAAAAAAAATCCTAGTGTTTTACAAAAACAAGTTTGAAATAGATAAAAATTCAAATTGGAAGACTTTACAAATTAGAAAAACAAATATAACAGTAGCAACAACTCATTATTTTTTTTTTTTTTTGACATATTTATAGATTTTTTCACAAAATTAATTTGAGACTTGAAAAATAATGAAAAACAAACTTATCATATGATTAAAATAAATAATAGCTATCAATGTAGAGGGAAAGAGAGAGAGAGAACTGAAGTATAGAACATTATTTACTTTTAGAGTAAATAAACCCTAAATATAAACCTTGTATTATATTTTTTTCTTTATTTTTTATATTTTAAGATATTATATTTATTATAAATAATATTAATGTTAATGTTAATTTTGAATCAGATTATTATTAGACCAAATTGAGTTTAATCCATTTAATAAACTAATTAACTAATTCAGATTATAATCGAACCTGAAATATAAAAATTACATACAAAATTTATTTAATTACATCTGGTTAAAATTTGATATATTTACAGCCCTATCTGTAAGCACAAAAAGTCTTCAATTTCATGCAATACATGAGATGATGATGAAAATTTGGCATTTCTTATAATACCTCATGTGAAGTGCGAAAGGTCAAATTATTTCTTGCATTACACACCCACTCAAACATACTAGTTACCCTCGAATTCACTTTTTAATTTAAAAAAAAAAAAAACGAAATAATAATAGTCAAACTCATTTTACAGCACGCGTTTCCCAAACTCATACCTTAGTCCGGGAACTAACTTTACACGTAGAAATTAAGTTTGGTTAGAGTAAATTTGGCTTTCATTGCGACTAATGTACTAAGAAATTAAAAGTTAATTACATGTTTGGAATATAAAGTCGTAATTTTTTTTTCTATTTAAATGTATTGCCTTTAATTTTTTTATTTGAGTATACTAAGATGTAATTTTTTTTATTTAAGTAATTTTGTATTAACTTCAAGTTTTATTATTTGAGTATATTAAATTGTAATTTTTTTTATTTGAATGGTTTTGTTAACTTTACGTTAATATAATAGTTAACTACATACGAAAAATCATCATGTACGTCTCACTATCAAACACATGTCAATTAAATAAAAGAGTTTATTATTTAGTGTACAAACTTGTTCAATTTTTTTTTATTTGAGTATATAAACTTTAATTTTTATTATTTGAGTAAATCAACTTGCAGCTTTTTTTTTTTTAGTGATTCCATTAACTCTAAGCTAATGTTTCTATTAATTGCATATGTAACACAAATGTGCAATCTTCATTGTCAAATACCAAACAACTAGAAACTTCATACCACCAAACCCAAATTAAAAATTCAAACAAAAATATTTAAAAAATATTTGTATCCAAAAATAAATACAAAAAATTCTTTAATGAACTCATATTATCCAATTCAAATTAAGTCCCTTTTCACTCTAAATTAAGACATAATTTTACCTCATTATCTTCCAAACAGTCTTCATTCTCAGCCTTTGTATTGAGAATGAAAATTTATCGTTATAGTAAATAAATCGAGTCAATATTATTAAAATTTATCAAATGAAATTAGTGGCGTAATAAAAAGCATCACTTTCCAAGTTTTTTTTTTAAATAAGAGTCAGTATGCTTTAAATGCGATAGCCTTTTCATTTCCAAAAAATAAACAATTAAAGATTAAAATCTCGTCAAACGTTTACTTTGTTATAAAATAAATAGAAATAATAGGAGAATTAAATAAAAGGATGAGAAGAAAATAAAATCACTATAATGTGAATACAAGTGATAAGAACTTCAAAGTTTCTCTTATTCTCTCTAGAAAACTTATACACCAACTAATGAACAATCAAGCCTATTTATAGGCTTCAAAATTGAAGAGAGAATTGGAAGAGACTATGAATAATCAATTGCATCATCCTTTGAATTTCTCATATTGAATGATGTATTGAATCATATTAATAATCATGAGTAGTGGGGATATGAAAAGTGGATGAACATGATGATGGACATTCATTATTTCATAACACTCCCCTCGAATGTCCATTATACAAAGAACATGCCTCGTTAAAACCTTACTAGGAAAAAAACCCAGTGGGAAAAAAATCCTAGTGAATGAAAAAGAGTACAATATTCCTTGCACACATTAATCTCCATTTTTGTCTCCCCCTATTGAAGGCATTATTTAAGATCTTTAAGACAACGCATTCCAATCTTGTGAATCATCTTCTCAAAAGTTGTGGTAGGTAATGCTTTAGCAAATAAATATGTTGGATTATCACTTTGATGTATTCTTCCTTCGATGGAATTATGCAAGCAACGTTATCCTCATATGATATTGTTGAAACTTCTTTTCGTTGGTAGATAAACCGCATGTCTCTCGGATACAATGGATTATTGATCTTAGCCAAACACATTCTCGACTTGCCTCATGAATTAATATTTTTGCATGATTTGAAGATGTGGCAGCTATAATTTGCTTTATAGAACACAAAGATATAACTGGATCTCCATATGTAAATATATAACCGAGTTGTGATCGAGCTTTATGTAGATCGGATAAATAACTCCGTATCCGCATAACCAATTAATCTTGTCTTTGATTTATTGGAGTAATATAAGCCCATATCAATTATTCTTCAAAGATAACATAGTATATGTTTAACTTTATTTCAATGTCTCTATATTGAAACGGAACTATGACTTGCAAACAAATTTATAGAAAAGACTATATCGAGTCGAGTATTATTAGCAAGATAAATCAATGCACCGAGTGGCACTAAAATATAGTACTTCGAGACCAAGTAGTTCTTTGTTATCTTCTCGAGGTCGAAAATGATCTTTTTGGATATCAAGTGAATTAACTATCATTGGGCAAGTCAATGAATGATCTTTATATAGAATCATTGTTGAACTTTTTCTATATAAATTGACCGATGAATGAAAATCTCATTCTCCGAGTGCTCGAACCGCTGAGTCGAGATAACATTTTATTTTCTCAAGATATTCACATCGATTCTTTTTTTAGGTAACTTGTGACACTTGGAATCTCTTCGGGAGTTCTAATAATATTTAAGTTATCAACATATACAACAAACCCCTTTTCAAATAAAAACATATAAACAAATCGGGTTATTTTTTATAACTTTCTTTCAACAAATAATCATTGAAGTGATTATATCACATGCACACGGGTTAGTAATAAAACAAGTAGATATAAAAATAAAATATAAAAAGTATAAATTGAATTTCTAAAAACCAAAATAATAAAACAAATACTAAAATAATCCTAATAGAGATCTCTATAATCTCATTGAATTCTTATCTCGAGAATATATATTACATGCTTCGGCATGTTAAGTCTTTCTAGGACTTTAATACTGATTCATCTCAAATGAATAAATAAATTGTGATCACATTCATTAAATACATGCGTATAAATATTTTTCATATATTTTTTCGAGCTAATGAGATAACAAAATATAATTACATCTATTATAGGAGAATATATCTCCTCATAGTCAATGCCAATTCTTTGCAAAAACTCTTGTGGTGATATAAGAGAGAGCACTCCATGTAATCTTTTTTTTTCAACATTTTCAACTCGTTTATTTTGCTTATTCTCTCCCCTAATGTTAAAAAAACTATTTCATCAAAATGATAGTCGATAAATCGAGTCGTTAAAATTTCCTCTTGTTCATGAATCAAGAGATTGAATTATCGAAGAGGATTCATATATTCTCAATCTCTTTTAAGTGCCAATTTTATTTAATTATAGAGGAGCACTAAGGATAAACACCGCAATGCCGAAAATTCTTAAATAAGAAATAATTGGCTCATGATCATAAATCAATTAAAGGGGAGAGAATTTCGATAATTTATGGGTCATATGCGAATAAGTGTTGCTGCATGTAAGATTGTATGTCCCCAAACATAAATAGGGAGTTTTATTTTTAAATAATGGTTTAGCTATCAATTAGAGCCTTTTGATAAATGATTTTGCTAAACCTTTTTTAAGTATGAACATAAGCAACAGGATGTTCAACCTTTATTTCAATAGCCAATCAATAATAATTTAATGCTTGAGAAATAAATTCATCAGCATTATCAAGGTGACTTGTTTTAATTGCATAATTTGAAAATTATGCTCGAAATCAAATTATTTGCTAACAATCTCGAAAACATCAAGCTTCGAATAGATAATAAACATATATGTGACCATCTTGTGGATGCATTTATCAAAATCATAAAATATTTAAATGGTCCACATGGTGGATGAATTGATCCACATATATCACCTTGAATACATTCTAAAATACTGGAGATTCAATCTCAGTTTTACTTGATGATGGCTTAATAATTAATTTATCTTGGCAACATGCGTAACATGAAAGTTCATTAAATTGAAGAATCTTCCGGCTCTTCAATAGATGTCCATATGAATTTTTAATAATTTTTCGCATCATGAAAGACCCAAGATATCACAATTGGTCATGTCACATAATAAAAGTATTTGAATTAGTAAACTTCGGTTTACTATACTATATTTTGTTTTCAAGCATTCTAATGTTGGTAATAAAGAATAAAGGAGAAAGCGAATAATTTCCCCAATACATGCTTTCTATCCGATATAATTATAATATTTAAGAATTTAATTTTTGACATTTTTCATCTTGATATAATGTCCATTTAGATAAATATTTTTTAAACTCAACAAATTTCTATGAGACTTTGAAGAAAATAGTACATCATTCATAATAAATTTATTATTTCGGATAATGAAATATTTGCTCTTCCGGAGCCTTTAAATTAGTCACTTCAAGTAATAATATATCGACTCTTCTAGAGCCTTTAAATATTTTCTCTTCAAGTAATAATTTATTCACTCTTATAGAGCTTCAAAATTTTATCTCTTCAAGTTATGATATAATCGCTCTTCTAGAACTTTCAAAATCTATCTCTTTAGATAATAATATAGTCGCTCTTCTAAAGCTTTCTATTAGATTGATATTATTATATATAATATTAACATAAAATAAATAATCAATATAAAATAAATAAATAAATATATTCCTCATAAATACAAACAAATAAATAGATAGTAAAATAAATTTGTAACCATCACTATACGATATAAATTATTAGAAATATAAAATATTTTATTTATAAATAGAAAAACTAACAAATAATTAATTTCAATTATTATTATTTTGATATATAAAAGTGGCCTTCATATTTTACTTTTTATTTTTCAATAAGGCTCGATAAGGCTCAATGAGGTGCTTTTGTGTACGACAGTGTACACGATCAATATTCATTCATTCTACATCTATAATATTTATTTTTCAAAATATTGATTTTATTTCTTTTTATTTCTTTTTTTCATAGGTATCCACTTCAGGTGGTGAGATGTAATATTATTACGATTATAATGATAATTATTTCGACCATATCCATAGCTATGATCAAATCTTCATCCATGTCTAAAATTATTATAAATTATCACATTCACTTCGCAGAATGAAGTAGATCTAATTAGATGAGATTTATTCTTTTTCATTTTATTTAGCCACTAACAAGTATAAAATTGATCCAAAATATTTCTTAAACTCTTTTACTCTTTTTCTCGATATGCTACTGCAGGAGCATATCCAAGACATAACAAGCGAGAGAAAATTTTTTTTAAATCAAGCACTCATAATCAATAATTCTTATTCAAAATATCAAGAGTCAACAAATCAAGTTTATGAGGTTTGATATGATAAAAATTCTATAATACAATATATAATAATAAAATTAAAGCTTTTCAAATAACATATATTAGATCATTAGTAGATCATTTAAGTTTTTCAAATATATATTTCATGTATCAATAGATTTAAAGTACATGAATAAATTAGATACATATCTCTTAACGATCTAAATAATTTAGATCTTTTGGTAGAGCACTTGTGTAAAAGAAATCCAATTGTTGAAACAATTGATTAAATCTTTTGATAGATACATACCTCATAGTCTATTGTCTCGATTGATTAGAGCTTCGTGCCGATAACGTGTTATAAAGTAAATAGAAATAATAGGAGAATCGAAGAAAATGATGATAAAAAAATAAAATCACTATAATGTGAATACAAGTGATAAGAACTTCAAAGTTTCTCTTATTCTCTTTAGAAAACTTGTACACCAACTAATGAACAATCAAGCCTATTTATAGGCTTCAAAATTGAAAAGAGAATTAGAAGGGACTATGAATAATCAATTATATCACCCTTTGAATTTCTCATATTGAATGATGTATTGAATCATATTAATAATCATGAATAGTGAGGATATGAAAAGTAGATGAACATGTGATAAACATTCATTATTTCATAACGTACTTGATATTTTTAAAAGCAAAGCAAGGGCAAACAATTAAGAAAAATAATACGCACTAACACCATATTTATCGTATTAGTAAGAAATCTTAATTTCTAACCTATCATTATCGGAAACAAAGATTTCTCAAAGATTTCTAGCTAAAGAAAATAATCACAAGGATTCGAATTGAATATTTTATGTATTTCCAAAATTTACCGTTGTAAAAGAATAAGGAATTGTGTATTTCTAATTCTCAGAAAAGAAAAGAAAGAAATTGGGCCTGATAAAAGAAAGTAGCGCTTGAAAAATGACAACTCGAAATATATAAAAAGGCCTGTAACCTCCTCTCTAAAGCCCAACCCACTTTCAACCGTTTCCTTAACAGTAAAACAAATCAACGCAGGCATGCGACAAACCTAACAGTCTTCTCTTTTTTAACTTCAGTTCTTAACAGCTCTTTCTCTCTCCTGGATTTGTAGTTAGGTAAATTCCATGGGTTGCCATATAAACCCTTGCTACCTTTTTCGAGTTTTTTACTTTGACGATTCACATTTCAAAGAAAAATTTAGTTCTCGAGAGAGAGAGAAAAACTCTTCCGATTTTAGGGAGAAGGAGAAGAGGAAAAATCATGATCAATGGCCCTCAATTCTGAAAGGAGCGATAGTGACTGAAAATTCAAAATTGATACTATGGATACAGCAGCAAGTCAATCATCATCGTCGTCAATTATGTTTTATAATTTTCTTGATAAAATGCGAAATCCTGCTTCTCTCAATCTTGTCAAATCCATTAAAAGGTTTGTTTTTTTTTTTTAGTTTTCAATTAATTTAACTGTGTTCAATTGAATTATATTGCTATTAATTTAGTGGTGTTTAATTGAATTATATTGCTAGGGTTTATTATTGTTCATTGGATTATTGATCTGTCAATTGGGATCGTTGTTTTTATATGTATGTGTGTGTAATATTTCTGAGGAAAATAAAGTTTGCGAAATTATTGATTTTGAATGCAATCAGAACTGATTTTTTTCATTGATTTTTGTATTTTGATCGAATCAGATTTTGATGCTATTCTCTTTCTTGTCAGCAATTTTTACTCTTTTTTTCCAATTTGATCTTAGCCGTTACAATTTTCCTTTAATTACTTCATATATTTGGTTGCTGCAAATTTGAAGAAAAGAAGGGATTTTTTATCTTATTTTTTAATGTGGTTTTGGTTCTTGAACGATTTTTTTTTTAAAAAAAGAAAAAACATTGCTTGTGCGGTTATATATTTGTTAGGAGGTTGTTATTTGTAAGTAACCGAAATGTTATAAGTTTTAATGAAGGAAATTTAATATGTTTCAGCTTCATCGTATCATTCCAATTTTCATCTGCCAACCCTGAAAATGATAGCAAAAAGGTACAAGAGTTTTTCTCGACAATGGAAGCAGCTTTCATGGAACATCCATTATGGGCAGGTGCTACTGATGAAGAATTTGATTCCTCAATGGAGGTAGCTATTGAATTATTTCTCTTACAATTACTACAATTCCTATGCATATGTTTTACTTGGAACAGTATTTTAATTATTTAGTTCAACGATACAATGAAAGACATCCTTTGGGAGAAAGGAAAGGGGTGGGATATGGAAAACATCTTTCCATTCAAAGCAATAAACTTCTTTGAACCAAAAGTGGATGGAAACTGAGAGGAAGGAGTACTCCAATGAAATTTTCCCTTTACTACTCTTTGCCTCCCATCCTTAGTTCTTTCTCTTACTTCGTGCCAAACAAGTGGTGACCCAAGCTCCTACTGGTTCAAGCATATGACTTTATTCTTTGGCCCCATAGTGGTTTGAAGCACCCATGCCATACTGCTTGGAAGCATCATGGATTCCATACACTGTCTACTTGAAACTTTAAGCCAGCTAAATTCATTGAGATCATTGTGGTTTGGATAAACTGACTCTTTCATTAGATGAAAACCTGATATGATTTCTACTAGCTTCACATGTATATAAATGTACCTATTATGTTATATCATATACGTTCTACTTTTGTATTGTTTTTAATGTACATGCATATAATATTGTAACAGTGCCCGGACTACTATGCTATCTACTATTTATGTATTGTTCTAAAACATATATGCATATCTGAAGTATTTGAATGCTTTCTGTAATTATTTTACTTTCTAGTGTGTTTGTGTCTTCTGTCAATCTTTGTAGCTTTGTGTTGCTTTCCACAGAATATGTTAATAGATTGTTTTATTTTGAATTTCAAATTGGGTTCAATTTATTTTGCTTGTTAATCATCTCTTGCATACATATAACACAGGGATTGGAGAAATATGTCATGACGAAATTGTTCTCCCGAACATTTGCTACTTCCCCTGAGGATGTGAAGATTGACCAAGAGATCTCAGAGAAGATACACTTGCTGCAATCTTTTTGCGGCCTGAGCATTTGGATATTCCTGCATTTCTTCAGAATGAAGCTTCATGGCTGGTATGCATTCTAGCCTATTTTGACTGTTAGGAAATGTTATTAAATTTATATTGATGCAAAACTGCTTGATTTAGTTCCATTAACTGTCAGTAATCTGATTCTTGGAGCAGTTCAATGCCATAAACTAGGAAGTATGTCGACTGATGATATTTCTGTCGCCATGCTGCAATTAGTTTTTTTTTTTTTTTTTTAACAGTTTATACTCTTCTTTCTCAGCCTGACCTGTTACTACTATTGAGCTAACTTTACATTTCACTTGCTTCCACGTAAACACATAAATTCAACTTAGTAGTTAATACATATTTGCTAACTAATTGTTGCTTTAACAAAGCAATTCCTTTAACCTCTAATGCATGGATATTTTATGTCCATGGACTAAGACAGATTGATAGAGATTTTGTTGAACTTGAATTTACAGTACAAAAAAATCCTGATATCTTTTTACTTTAGCTTGTTTAACAACATTCAAAACCAAACTAGTATTAAGACCCTTATGTATCATGCTTCATACTCCAAAGTCCAAATTCAACTTATCACTTCACCTAAAACGCTATAAGGATAATTTAATTGTAGTGAATGATATTCTAAGCTTCCATATCCTCTTCATCTCATCACCAGGGGGTCTTCTTTGTGCCAAATGTTTTATCTTCAGTTTCACAGAAAGTCTAATTTGGATAATATTGTTGAAATAAATTGTGCTGAGGAAGGAATAGTTTATATGTGGCCTCGGTTAGTGGGGGAGACTTAGTTGGCATTTCATTGGATCTCACTGGATGCTTTCAATTTAAAATGGAATGCTTGATTAGGCAATTTGATGATATTGAGGATAACAACTCTAAATCTTTTTGTTTTTTTCTTTCCCTTCGTTTGATAAAAATTATTGAAAAAGAGAAAAAGAGGATAGAACATGACAGAGCAGTGGCAACTTACAGTGTGGAAGTGATCTCACGAATGTGATATTTAGATAGACAACTAGATGTAAACTTCTGTGACTAGTCAAGTAGTTTTTGTTGGGAGATTGCCTCTGTACAAGTTTTTTTTTTTTTTTCTCCCTAACAAGTCCAGGTTGAATGTATTGTTTTGAGATGTTTCTCTCCATCATCATCTTGAAAGTTTCAATTTTGTTACTCAGCATGAGTGCAAAGTTCAAGTTGATTTCTTTTTGTAAAGCTTTCTTTTATAACTCTAATGTTGATCCCAGCTTGCAGAAAAGGAATTGCAGAAGTTAAATGCTTTCAGAGCTCCTCGTGAGAAGCTTCTCTGTATTATGAGCTGCTGCAGGATCATCAACAATTTGCTGCTCAATGCATCAATGTCAGAAAATCATGTACTTGGAGGGGCGGATGACTTTCTTCCTGTTCTTATATATGTTACAATCAAGGCAAGATCTCCTTGGTAATAAGCAACTCTTCCTACCATTATTTGCCTATATTGGACTATTGTTTCTGTGTTTTGATGCGTCAATAGAAAATTGTATAACCAAAAAAAAAATACTGCAATCATTGTTTGATTGGCATTCTATTTTTTCCTCATCTTAATCATCTTTATTGTGACATTAGCCCATGCTTCCATACCAGAGAACATGACTATAGTTGGTAATAACAGATGATTTCGCATAAAGATATATGGTTCGATATCTTTTCTAGCCTATGTTGATACATGACAAGTAGCATAATTAACAATGCGATTTGTTTGGAATGATACACTTAATCCAGTCTTATTCACATAGACTTGATTAGAATTTTTCCAAACAATATAAAAGCTTTTCAAATTACCTACTGTTTTAAATTTATAAATATTTTCATAATGACAATATGTAGGTTTGTTGTATAACATGATCATCATCACTCATCATTTTGTTAAAACTGACAATAGTATTAAGATAGGCCAAGGTGTATCTATACAAGGAACACGGAGAAATAGCTATTATATACTGGAAATAAAGCAAAGAAAAATGAAGTTAAATAAATTACTTGTTAAATTTTATGGGTGGAGCTGTAAGCCTCTGAATAAATGTTGGATAAAAATATTATGAAATTGTGATTTTGCAGAATATATATATAACTTACATACATGTAGACTAATAATACTTCTTTTCTTATGGTGGCATATCTCATAATAATGGATTGACAGAAAAAGCATCAAATATATAATTGCGTTGCAACTAATGTTCTATCATTAACAGTAGGTGGTGTCATTTTGATTTCTGTGAAGCCTTGAGGGGTATGAAGTATTGTGCACTTTCAAACCAAGCACATAGTGAATTTTAATGTGCCCCTCTGATCTATGGTGCACTTTTCTAAATGCAAATCCCTATATCTTCTTTCCTCCTCAGTTTCTTTGCCTTCGCTTTTCTTTTGTAAATATTGGCTTTGCTTTGGCTGTCCAATTCTGTGGTGAGGAGGCTCAAAAGAAAATATATGCAAGTTTCTTGTTTACTGTGTTCTTCCTGATCTCCTAAGTTCCTTTTGTGACTAGTTTTTATCTTGTTTGGCATGCTGGAGGAAGATTCATTTTAGGTTATATTCTACTTGCATTATCTTGCAGGTTATAGGACTAATAGGTTCTTTCAACAGGCCAATCCTCCACAGTTGCATTCCAACCTGAAATTCATCCAATTGTACAGGAGGCAGGCAAAACTTGTATCTGAATCAGCTTATTATTTGACGAATCTTGTCTCAGCTAAGTCCTTTATTGTCGAGTTAAATGCCAAATCTCTTTCTATGGATGAATTTGAATTTGAAGAGAGTATGCAAGCAGCTAAATTGGACAGCAAGGTATCACAAGTAGAAGCTTTACAATCAAAGACAGACCCTGGTCCTTCAACAAGAATGCATGGCATGGAAACAAATATAGATGGTGAGCTTGCAAATTGTCAAGTTGTTGCTTTCATGTGTACTTGATAATTTCCTATTTTCGTGCATTGAGGTCTTCTTTCTTATTTGAGGGCACTGATTCAACTTTCCATCTGATTTGATCTGATTCATCTTTCACTGCATCAGGAAGATCAAATTATCCATATATGGAAGCTGAGCCTGGTGAATTGACAGTTGAAGATGTAGAAAGATTGCTGAGTCTGTACAAAGATGTGGTTACAAAGTACAGTAGACTTTGCAGGGCTGTTAGTCATCCCTCTGCAGCCAGAGGAGAACCATCTCTTCCTGCTCATAAAGAAAAAGGTGACCTTCTAGTGCAACCTGAGGGACAATCGCAAATGATCCAAGAAGCAGAAGAAGAGGTACATAAATTTTTTGTGAAATCTATTAACTTCTGATGATATATATATATTAACAATGCATCAAAGAACAAGTCTGCAAAAATAGAGAAACTTCTCTCTTTTTTTCTTTTTTCTTTTTTTTTGATAATCTTTGTATAGAGTCAGAACACAAAAAGACTATGGAGCTACATTTGTCAAATGAGAGAACAAATCCCCCATAAAAAGATACTTGGGATTTACAAGAATATATACACCTTAGGGTACACTAAATGTCAATAGTTAGTCCAGGTACGACACTGACACCCTCAGTTCCTGCCCCATTCCTGCATGTTGATGTTTTGGATAGAGAAATTCTTTTCGATGCCTCTTTCTCTATGAACTTAGTGCTCTTCTCAGATTTATTGCGGTATGAGTTGAGGCATCTCATGCAGACAAACTTTTCAGGAATTTCATCAGAATTGTCAATCCCAGCACACCTAGTATGCTGCCAAACACCACAGGTATCACAAGCTAACATTCTCTCACCATCGTCATCCATAGCCCCACACATGCAATCCACTACCCAGTTCTCTTGTCCCTTCTCCATTCGAAAATGGCTAAGTGCATGTTTTGACGGACAGGTCCCTTTAATTCGGACTGATCCACTTTGTCCAACCAGAAACTTAAGAGTAATGAAATCCTCAAGAGAGCCATAGTCTAGCAATTCACCAGCTTCAAACCTCTTAAACATGGCATATACTTCTTGAAAAGTTTTGGTGGCTTCAGTTTTTAGGTCAGCAACAGTAGCATTTGAAGGCAGAACAATTAACTCTGGCGGTATAGCAGGGTCTGTTTTTGGCTGCTCTGAAAACTCTACATGGCACAAAAGGTGGATGGCAAAAGGGTTATCCACCATCTGCTTATCAGGTCCATAGTCCTTCATAAATTGTTTGCAGTCAAGAAGCTTGGTTGCTGCGTCAATCACGCTTTCTCTCGTCACTAGAGATCTATAGTTTACCATGGTTGCAGGGTGGAGCAAGGAATCAAATAAAAATTTCATGTCACCAATAATATGTTCTTTTGACAGCTGATTTGAATCCAACCCATTTCCATAGTGTTTGAAACTCAGTGGTTCAAGCCTGATACATTGGAGAGATGACAGATTGAGTAATGCATTTAGCAAGTTTGGAGTGAAAAACAGTTTGGTGTTAGCATCAACTACCTGAATTCAATATCAAAGGAATTAAGGTTGCATCGTGCACGAACCACCATGCCACTAGCTGCTAACTTCCCTCCCAAGTGTTTAAGGCAGTAGTCAAGAAGTTGTGGAGATGCTGTTTTACACATGACACCTTTAAGAGCATGCCTTGTAACCCAATTGGTCTTGCCAGATGCTGCAGCCAGTACCTTGATCATTGCTTGTTGTACACATTCCACATCATCCCTTGTCCACGCACACAATATGTTTGCAGTAGGTTTTAAGCTCTTGAGTGTTGCCTTAGATGTTAGAGTCTTGTTGCTTTCACGGATCAGACTAGACAAAAAGGAGAAGAGGTCCTTCAGGGTTACAAGTTCTGAGTCTGCCAGTGATCGATAAAATGAAATTAGAGCCTGTAGCCTAGTTCGTTGTCCTCGCCCTTGGAATAAAAGGGGGCTAAGGGCACACTTGACAATCTTTCCACTGCTTTCTTGTAAGCATCCAATGTAATTGCATAACTTCCACATCCAAATTCATAACCCCAATTCCCATACCATGAATGGCTTTGGGTGATTGCATTGAGAAGTCGGTACTCCATCCCATATTTTGTTGACACATCCATGACAGATACCTTCCTGTACAGCAAATGAAGTTAACAGAATCAGATGGCTTCCAATTATAACAAGTGAAAAAACTCAAATCTTAAATTTGTCTGTCGTGCCACTACTAGAGAACTCGAGTGCTTTGTTAATTTATTGTCTTGTTTATTTATTAAACCTAAACTCGTGCTTTGCTGATTAATAGACTGATTATGCATGTTTACTAACAGGTCGGTGGTGCACCAAAAGGTTAATGCTTTTCAAAGTGCTGCTGAAGTCCCTGATGCATCCAGTGCTACTAAAATTGATGATTTTATATGTTATGCACCATCAATTTGATTTTATATGCTTTGCACTAGCAATTTGTTTCACATTGGCAAGGTTTCCAGAAATGGACCATTTATAAGCTACTTCTGACAATAGAACTCGGAAAGAAGGTCCATTATTCTAATCAATTCTGATTCATTGAATCTGTGAATGTTGAGACAGTAACCTTAATATCTTTCTTTAAATATCAAATGCAGCTGTGCATGGATTGTAGTGCAGTGTTTGTAAGTTGAAATATTATACCACTGGCCATATTCATTGTTGGCTTCCTGAACCACCTTCTCTTATCCTCTTTTATATAAGCCTTTCATAGCATGTTTAATTTTTTATGATTGATTTATTTATTTTTATACAAGCTCGCATTGCATGCAATTGGAGTCAACCACTTGGCTACACTTTTATCCAAAAACCAATAGGTTCAGCAAGGCCCGTGATCGAGTGGAAAAGGTGATTATGGGAAACAAAAAAACTGCAAATTTTGTCTATGATGGTGATATGGTAGCAGCAAATAAAATAAAAATGTATGCACGAAAATTAAAGAATTAGAGATTAACAAAAGTCCAAACCTTACTGCCAATGTTTCACACAGCCTATCCCAGAAGTTCATGATATCTGAACCGGTCAAAACACTGGAACCACCTTCCCTTCCATTAACCAAAAGGAGGTGGCCAAACCCATTGGAGTGAACAACCCCATGAAGTAGATGAGTGTTATCTTCGAACTGAGAATACACCCACTCTTCAATATCATCTGTAGTAATCACAGTGTCACACCAATTGCACCTACTCCACCACAAAAACAACCCAAAATAAGCTACAATTCCCAAATCGCAATGATAGATTAGGCAATAAGTTTTTAACTAATTGTGATTTTACCTGGATTCTGATATGGGCAGCCAATTGCCACATCTGTTACATGATCTCTGATACCCATCAGCAGGACTATTGTTAACTCTTATGATAAAATGGTACCGTTTCTTGCACACAGGATGCCCACTCCAGCCTTCGGAAAAAAGAATAAAGAAAAGAAAATTAGACACTCACATTAGCTAAAGCTTCGCACTTAGCTATCTAAGTAACTTTTTAGTTTTTCTTTAATCATTTTTAAAATAAAACTTAAATAACACAAAATTTTATCTACATTATCATCCACATTGTAAAAATCTGAGTCAGCTTGGGGTTTATCATATTTTATAATAAATTTAAAATTATGTGACGTCATTGGTGACTCGGGTGGGTGGGTGGTGAGCCGACTCACCAACAACACGGCACTGGTTGCAATAAACGGATCTAGAAGATCTGGTAACGTCCTCCTCGACAATATCGAGAGCCACAACGACCGGAGACAGATCCGTACCCTCCGACACCAGATCTCCGACACGAAACAAGATCTGCCACGTCAACAAAGAGGGAAAGAGTGAAGGAGGGAAAGTGACCCGCGCGTGACGTGACAAAAACGCTTTCACGCTTTCCCTAAAAGACCCGCCGGCGGTGACGAACTCTTTGCTAGCCGGAAAAGAGAGGATGTCGTAGAGATCCGCTGTAACCCTGTTGTTTCTCTTGGCTCGCTTCATCGGCCTGTCGCTTACTACCATTGTTTTGAGCTAGTAGATACGTAGAATAAAAGGCAGCTTTTCGCTTCAAATCTATTGGTGTTTTTTTGTCTGTGTTTTTACTTAGTATTAAGTTAAATAATATGTACAGAAACAGATGGAAAGAGAGGAGGAAGAGAGGGTTTAGGAGTGACAGTGAGTAGGGGGAGGAGGGAGGGGTTTATGATGATCGGTTTCTTCGGAAATTGTGGGAAAAGATTAAGAGGAGCAATGGGAGAGGTTTATTTCGTATTTATTTTGTCGTATTTTAAGAGTGGGGGCGGTAGTTGGGTCCCATTGAAAAGGAGGAGTCTTTTGGCGGTCGGGTTTTGTGTTCTACTTGCCTTTTTATTATGGCGGTTCGAGTTTTTCCCGGTGTCTTTGGCTTTTTCCTTTTACAACTTTATCTTTTTTATTATTATACTTTTACTAGTATATTAATTAAAGGAAACTAAAACATGGGGGCTTTGAACAGTCGAAAGCTTTGAATAGTAAAAATTACTGTTCATCTTCTCATAATTCTCTATTTGCACACTGTAATTTAGGTTTTTTTTTTAATATAATTTTTAATTTATTTTATTTTGGTTTTTAAAATTTTAAACTAAAAATTTTAATCCTCTAGTTGATGCACTACACATGTCTTTTTTTTTATTTAGTTTTTTCATCAATTTATAGTTTTTTCCATACAAATTGACGATTATATAATATATACGATATGTTTTTATATTTTAGAATAAATATATATTATTCTTATTGTTTAAAATTGATCTTTTCAATTTATTATAAAAATTCTCATTAAGTTAATTTTTATTTTTATTATTTATTAATAAATATGATTTATTTTCTCTATATATAGATTCGAATAAGTTTTTTATACCTATTTTTATTTGCTCAATTCTTATATACTCGAATTTTAAAAATAGAATATATTTTTTTATTTTTTATTCTTTATATAATCAAGTTTTATCGAAATCAATTTTATAGTTTTTATACCACTCTACTAACTTCAATATATATTATATAAATTAATTTTTTTAAAAAATATTTTTTAATTTATGCTATACATTCTCATCCATTTAGTACGATCATGATATATAAAAAAAATATTAATATTAAAGTCATTGATTTTATTAGAAATTAACTATGTATCTACATATAAATAATATCAACTATTTGTTATTATTTTTTTAATTTTAAAATTATTTTTTAAATAAAATAATATTTTAGAATAATCGCCTAATAATTAAAATATAATTTTGTATACTAATATTGCTCATTATTTTGTGTGTGTGTGTGTGTGTGTATTTAAAAAAAATAATCTTTTCATCGACAAAAAAGCTTCATTTGTTAATTTTCATACAAATTTTTATATTAATAGTTGATTTATTTTTTCGATGTAATGTTATAAAAAAATATTGAGACATTTTTTTAAAAAAAATTATATTAAAATTTATTTATTATGAGTTTTTATTTAAGAATAAATGAATAAGAAAGAACAAATCATATTTTTTCACTTCAAAATTTATTCAAAACATATATATATATATATATACAAAATTTTGATTAAAAACTATAAAATTAGATGAAATTTTATATTTTATATTTAATTTAATATATTTTAATGAACCGACAACATAATATATGTTATGAAGCTGAAATAAATATGTTTAGTTTGGTTCGTAGCGTAGCATGAGAATTTGAACTATTCATGTGCCTAAAATTCATATTCACTTACTATTAATATGTATAAAATTACTATTAACTTGATGTCAATTTAAGTAATTTTTGTGTATAGTTTTTTTGTGTGTTTTGGGGCATTAATATGCAAATTTAGCATTTTTTTTTCCTATTTTCATCTCTCATGTTATAACACTTTTTCAATCATTAACTTTCATTTTCATGTAGCACACGGACACACACACTATCTTCTTATATTTTAAAATTAATATATACTTCATCTTATATTACTCTTATTATTTAAATTTCATTCCTTGAATTTATCATTTTTATGAAAATTTTCATCCGATTAACATTTTTTTATCTAAAATTTTATGTATTAAAAAATATAATTTATTTTTCTCTATTTTGAATTTTAGAATAAAATTTTAAAATATAATTGTTTTTTTTTTTGAAAAATAAATTGGTGAAATATATATCATGAATTTTTAGAATTTTTAAATGATAGTTGCATATTTATAAATATATAATTATTTTATTCTAAAAGATTAAAAGTGTATTTTAGATAATTTGTCTCGATTCATTAGGTATGGTCATGATTTATAAGAAAACTATTGAATCATTGTTTTTATTAAAAATTAACTATACATCTTACAACATAATACAAATTATTCACTATGAATATTTTTTTAACATTATAGAACCAATTTATTTAAAATAAAATAATTAAAATAATTTTTTAAATGAACCAATCAATTATTCAAATACAGTTTTTTACTACTTTTAGTGATTATTTTGTAAAGAAATATATATGGATCAAATGCACATACTTTTAAAAAATAATCTTCTCACCGACGTTAAATAAGAATAAAATTTTATTTTTTCATCAGTTAATTTTCATACAAGTCTATACATTAATTGTAATTTTATTTTTTGGATATATTCTTATAAAAAATATATTTTTTTTCAAAGTATTTTTTTTTGAATTCTTAATTAATGTTTCGGGTTTAAATTATTATAAGTTTTTATTTAAGAATCCCTAAATAAAGAAGAATAAATAATGTTTTCTTTAAACATAAATTTTATGAAAAACACAAAAAAAAAAATTATGAAAATTAAATAAAAAATTATAAAATTTTGAAATGATTTTGTTCTATCTACCCGTAGATTTGTACAAATAATTTCAAAAATTAATCTTCTCATCGATATTAAATAAGAACAAATTTCATTTGTTAATTTTTATAAAAATCTATCTATTAATTTAACTTTTTTTGGAACACAATATTATGAAAAATATATTTTAAATTTTTTTAATTATTAATTCATATTTTAGTTAAAAATATTATAAATTTTTATTTTAAAATCAATCCATAAACAAGAATGAATTATATTTTTTTAAGTAGAAAATTTATGAAAAAACATTAAAAAATTTTAAATGATTTTTTATGAAAATTTTAATTAAATAAAAAATTATAATTATAAAATTTTAAAATAATTTTTTTATATCAAACTCGCAACATAGTGTGGGCAACCAACTAATGAAAAAAAACTAAAAGGCATGGGGATTTTTAACAATGATTTTTAGTGTTTACCCCCTTACAATTTACTATTCATAAAATGTAGATAAGAGTAGCATTTTTGTGATTTTTCAACTGTTTTTGGATATTTATATTCGAAGTTTACATAAATTTTCGTTTTGGTCCTTAAAGTTTTCAAATTTTATTTTAATACGTGGGTTGTTTCATCATCAAGGTTGCTTCATTAGGCCTACAGCAAGCACATAGGCCAACCTCCTCTTCTTCTTTTTTTTCCATCAATTTATGTTTTTTTAATTATTATTGAATTAGGTGTGAAAATCATGAAAAATGCTATTTTTACTCTCTTCTTTTTTCTTTTTTTTTGTTTTTTGCTTGTTTTTTTCCACCAATTTATTTTTTTATTATTGATAAATATATTTAATATGATTTAGATTTTAGAATATGTGTGTGTGTGTGTGTGTATCGGATTATATTACTTTTATTGTTTAAAATTGATCTCTTCAATTGTCGTTTTTAATAAATATTCTCATCGGATTAATTTTTTATTGTTTTATTTGTTAATATATATGATTGATTTTTTTCTTATGTATGGATTTTTGAATAAGTTTTTTTAGTTTTTTTTATTTGCTTATTTTTTATATAATCAATTTTTAAAAATATAATTCATGTGTTTTATTTACTTTTTTATATATATAATCAAAATTTATCAAAATTAATTTTGTTATTTTTTTTATTGCACCCTACTAACTTCAATATATTTTTTGCAATTTAATTTCTTTTAAACAAAATCAATTTATGCTACACACTTTAACCCAATAAGTACAGATCACGATTTATAAAAAATATATATATTAGAGTTATCGATTTTATTGAAAATTAACTATGCTTCTACACTCATGATACCAATCAATGCTATTATTTTTTATATTTTTAAATTATTTTTTCAAACAAAATAATTGAAATAATGTTTTAGAAGAATCACCTAATAATTTTAAAAAAATTATATATATATATATATATATATATATATATATATATATAATGTACATGCTTTCAAAAAAATATTCTTCTCATTAGTATTAAACAAGAATAATAAAAAATTTATTTGTTATTTTTATTTATGTTTTTATGTTACTTTATTTCTTCGATATAATGTTATGAAAAAAAGTTAAAATATATTTTTAAAATTTTATATTTAAATTATTACGGATTTTTTAGAATATACGCATAAAAAAGAATAAATCATGTTTTTTTAATTACAAAAAAATAGATGCAAAATTGTGATTAAAAATTATAAAATTAGTTAAAATTTTATTTTTAATTTATTATATTTTTATTGACCGACCAACAAGTAAAATACATGTTGTCAAATTAAAATAAATATATTTAATTGGACCCGCAACGCAGGGTAGAAAGCCAATTAATTACTACTATTATATTAGGTGAATATATATATCACATTGTTAGGTTTTTACAAAAGACAAAAGGCGTAATATCGTTGTTAAGATTTTAATAAATAATATTATCCAAAACTAAAGATTCTCCTAAATAAAAAATTAAGATTTTTTTTTTTTTTTTTTTTTTGTAAATTAAGATTGTATTAATAAGTACATGGATTTTGAATGCAATCATTGACAGGTCCTGTTTCCTATTGCAATCAAATTCTTAATCTTATTTAGTTTTCGGTTCGGGCAAAATTTAATATTTAGTTTCTTGTTAAGATATAAAAAATTATTAGTATTATTTTCACTTGACATTTTCAAATTGCAAAAACAAATCCACTTTAAG